CCACCCCGCCCCCACAGGATTTTTTACTACAACCGCAAGCTTAAAACACATTTCCCCCTCATATTTGTTTAGTCTCTTACTAAAAGGTTCCTTGTTGACTAAATGTTACTAAAATGTTCTTTCTAGAATATTACAGGAAATTCCTTAATTGCTTTATATACCTGCTTTCAAATCTTTAAAATAGCTCAGTGCCTTAAATGTAATTCCTCCTATTTTATTGAAAAAATGGAAGCTCATAGAGGTCAAATCAGCTTTCAAACCTAGGTATAGCTACCTCTAAAGCAGTAGTTCTCAACCTTCCTAATGCCGAGACCCTTTAATACAGTTCCTCATGTTGGGGTGACCCCCCCAACCATAAAATTATTTTCATTGCTACTTCATCACTGTCATTTTGCTACTGTTATGAATTGGGTGACCCCTGAGAAAGGGTCATTCGATGCCCCCAAAGGGGTTATGACCCACAGGTTGAGAACCACTGCTCTAAGTCTACATTCTGTGTGTGTGTGTGTGTGTGTGTGTGTGTGTAAGAGAGAGCTTTAAATCAAAGAGCAATTGTATATTGAGAAAACATCCCAGTCCAATCCAGATCAAGTCCATAATTCTGATATTAGCCCATATGTCCAATACTAGTCCATAAATCCCTCTTTAGACTCGTGTAGCACATGCAATGATCTCGAATGCAGGAAGATCAAAGGACAGTGGGTGGAAAGTCTTGTAGTTCCAATGGTGATGGAAGCACCTCCAGGGCTCTGTTTGCCATCAGCGTGGCTACATGTGGCTGTCAACAGGAATGTGAAGCAGAGTGAAAGAGAGAGTGGCCCAACTCTTCTGATGGCAAAATCAAGAGAGAGGAGGTGACCAGAATCCTCAGGAGAAGGTCATGCCCACAAGGAGGGATCATCAGGCTGTGACCTGATTGACAGGCTAGACTCCACCCCTTTATTCTTTTATCAAGTTGACATGAAATTGTGTCATTACCACAATTTAACACTAAGTTATTAGCTAACATTGTACTTTGGGAAAAAGAAAAAAAATAGTTCAGGATAAAGGGACACAGAATAGAATGCAGCAACGGCAATTTTTCTCTACTGATCAGAATAGGCCTCCGAATACTGATGTGTATATGCTCATAGTGGTCAATTTCATACTCACAAATATTTGACAAATGCCTTGCAAAATCCCCAAGTATTTAACACTCGGCTCTCATAAATTGATAATAGCTGAGTTCAGCATAAAAATTGAGCTGAATTTTGAAAAAGCAACCTTCTTCCAATCCTAATGCCACCCTCTTCATTTGGCCTGCTTCCTGGAGTATTTGCTCAGCATATAGTTTGCATAAGTATGCTGAAAGGAGACAACCCTGACAGATACCTTTTCATGAGGACAATGAATCGTTCTGGAATTTCCATTCTTTTCAATGCTATTCATAGTTTGTTATGATCCACACAGTTGAATGCCTTCGCATAGTCAATAAAACACAAATAAATACTTTTCTGGTATTCTCTGCCTCAGCCAAGGACCATCTGACATCAGCAATGGTATCCAGCTTACATTTCTGGCAGCTCTCTAGAGATACATGGCTATAATCATTTTAAAAATAATCTTCAAATTTTATTTGCATGTTGTGTTAATGATTTCTATGCCATTTGGGTGGCTTTTCTTTGGTATGGGTGCAAATAGGGGTCTCTTCCAGTCGGTAGCTGTCCTCCAAATTTGGTGGCATGGACCAGAAAGTGCTCCCAGTGCTTCATCCGCTTAGTGAACATTTCCATTGGTTTTCTATCAATTCTCGGAGCTTTGCTTTTTACTAGTGTCTTCAGTACAGCTTGGACTTCTTCCTTCAATACCATTGGTTCTTGATCATAATTATTAAAATAGTGAACATGTATAAGAGAAGACATGTACGTGAATGTTTATAACAGTATTGTTCACAATACCAGAAATTGGAAAAACATCTTAAGAATCTACAGAATTAATGTATTGAGTAGTAAAGCTGCATTCAGATTCCGTAGGGACTTGATGGCCCCTTAAGTTGTTTCCAAATTGTCACGCATGTACAAGAATGCATCTTCAGAATATTCAAGTTTAAAAATTGCTGCTTCACGGTATATATGTGTTCAACTTTTAGGAATAATTCCAGAGTGCTGCAAGGTGGCTTAAGCAAAGTACGCTTGCAACTAAGGCATCAGAGTGTTAACTGCTACATCCTGGATAAAGCTGTTGTGCTAGGTGCTTCACCATAGAAGAGCCCTGGACTTTTTCTCCAGTGTGTCATGCCAGTCATGGCAACTCCAACCAATGTTCAGCCTCACCTGATCGTTGTCAGTGTCCTAAGGCAAACCATCTTTGTCCTTCACCAAGATGCCTGTGCTTACTCAGCTTCCTGCTTCACTTAGATTTTGGATTCAGAATATTCCTAATGCTATTGGAAGCTCATTGATACATTATTTTATTTTATTATTTTTTAAAAATTATTTTATTGGGGGCTCATACAACTCTGATCACAATCCATCCATCCATCCATTGTGTCAAGCACATTTGTACATTTGTTGCCATCATCATTCTCAAAACATTTTCTTTCTACTTGAGCCCAAGGTATCAACTCCTCATTTTTCCCCTCCCTCCCCAACCCGCCCTCCCTCATGAACCCTTGGTAACTTATAAATTATTATTTTTTCATGTCTTACACTGTCCAATGTCTCTCTTCACCCACTCTTCTGTTGTCTGTCCCCCAGGGAGGGAGTTAGATATAGATCATTGTGATCAGTTCCCCCTTACTCCCCACACCTTTCCCTTACCCTCTTGGTATCACTACTCTCATTATTGGACCTGAGGAGTTTCTCTGCCCTGGATTCCCTGTGTTTCCAGCTCTTATCTGCCGCGGTCCAGCCGCGGCGGGGTGAAGGGTCCCCTGTTCGGTGGGTAAGGCGTCGATGTGAGAGGGATGAGCAGAGTCAGGAGTCAGTGATCATCTGCTGCTTTATTACAATTTTAAGGTTCTATTCAAACAATATTTTCTGACAATCATACAATCAAAACGGAAAGAAAAAAATTCTAATAATAAAAGGTGCAAAGCATAGAGTTTTCCAGGGCGTTCTGTTTAAATCTTCTCAGAACGTTCTTTCTGAGTGGCTGGTTCATTTAAGTTTTCAATCTTGACCAACATACATTGTGATTAACCATAGACATGAATGGTTCTTGAAATAGGTCTGTGGTAATGGTGTCAATCAGTGTTCAAGTTCAAGGAAGTAGATAGGAGAAAATTGGCATGAACTTAAAATACAAAGTTCAGTCTACAAAGGTCTAAGTTAGCTAAATATTCTTTCTATGCTTCATCAATCTTACGTTCTTTAAGCCTTCGTTCCATTTCTTTTACCTGCCTTTTCAATCGGGGTTCCACTGTTCTCTTGTTTCCATTATGCACCATCTACACAATCCACTCTGTAATAACATTTTTGTACACCTTATTTTGTCTTCAATAGATCTAACGCACCAAACTGGGCCACCCCTTTTTATTCTTTCCCATAAAAATAAGGATGAAAATTTTACATGCTTCCCATTTACCTCAATAATATGTTCTCCATTGTCGTCATAAATGCCAGTGTAATTCAAAGGAGGGAGAACAGTCTTAGGGGTTTTTTCATTACAGTCCCCTTTACTATAAGCAAATTTATTAAGGGGTTTTACTGAGTGAATTAAGAGTTGTTTTTTATCTTTGGCACTCTTTCCCAGAAAGGCAGTCATAGGGAACTTCTCGGGAGTTACTGTAGTCAGTTGGGGTTGTTCCAATTCTAACTTTTGCATTTTTCCATAAATATACCAAAATCCTCATTCCCTTGTATGGCTTTGATAATTAACTCAGTCATTCTATCATATGCATCCCTTCTCTTAACGGGTACTGTGATTTCCCCTGAATTATTCATCGTGGTCTCGTTACTGCTCATAGTGGCAATAATGGTTTCAGTTTTACATGGTCCGGGATAAAATATAAACATACTCCAGAATATCATAGCGGCAACAACAAAACAATTTGTGAGCGGATTCCGGCAACCAATTCCTACAGTCCAACTTCTTTGAAGTCAGGCCATCTGTCGCTGGACTTTATCCTCAACGTCAGCCGGCAGGAGTGGTCCCATCACTTATCTGTATCAATGTACATCCTCTGATCTATCCGGATTTATGAGGTAGAATTGGGATCATGATAGTCAGGGGGGTTGAGTTGGGAAGGAGAGAGGAAGCATTAAAGAACTAGAGGAAAGTTGTATGTTTCATTGGTGCTATACTGCACCCTGACTGGCTCATCTCCTCCCTGAGACCTTTCTGTAAGGGGATGTCTAGTTGCCTACAGATGGGCTTTGGGTCTCCACTCCACACTCCCCCACCTTCACAATGATATGCTTTTTTTTGTCTGATATCTTGTTCCTATCAATACCTCATGATCACACGGGCTGGTGTGCTTCTTCCATGTGGGCTTTGTTGCTTCTCGGCTAGATGGCCACTTGTTTATCTTCAAAAACCTACATTTTGTGCTTGGAATAATAGCACCAACCGAATGTTTATGCATTATGTGTATGTGTTCTAGTTCTCAAATTGTGTCCAAACCTAACTGTCTGGTAAGTGTTTGAATTCAGGGCTCTTGCCTATCCCCATTATTGAGCAGGTCTATATGTATGCTGCCCACCTCCTGATTCTTGGGCTGATGAAGGGTGAAGAGTTTATAAGGGTGAGAGGCAAAGAAAAGAGAGTTAATCAAGTAAGGAAACGGCATAGGGCTGCTCAGAAAGAAAGAGAGACTTTCTGGGAGGTAGAAGGAAAGATAGGAATGGAAAGAAATCTCAAATTATAGTGTCATGTGTTTCTTCATTAGTGTTGTCATTGATGGATACCCTGTAACTAAAAAGCAAGTGAATGCCTTGGAAGCCAGGACAGTCATCCCCATGATCATCTTTGAGTTAGATGTGCCCTCCAGGGAGATTTTTAAAAGACTGATCCTGGATAAAAAAGAGCAACAGAGGTAATTCACATGACAGACGCCATGATAAATAAATGAACTCTAATCATCCAGAATTGCTGGGGGGGGGGGGGTTGATAGGGGGGAGGTATTTTTTCAATAGTGTTTTCCATGTGTTCCCTGTTTCTCTCTTAGTTTTCCATATCCACTGCACAATAGTGCACAGATTACAGCTGTCAATAACTCAAAGTACCGTAAAGTTATTGATGAGATTAGACATTACTATCAAGAACAACACCAAAACTGGTACGTGATTGATGGACTTCACAGCAAATGGTGGGTATGGAATGAAGTCATTAAGAAGATCCAAATGGTGAATTCATATATCCAGACATACCTAGAAAGAATCAAATTAGGTAAGAAATAGAAATAAAATACACATTTAAATTCTATAAATACTTGACTCATGATTCTATCATTCTTTTCATTTGAACATTTGCTGCCACAAACATAATGAGTATTTTAAATATGTCTGAAAACCAAACCAGTTGCTGTTCAGTTTATTCCAACTTGCATGGAAGCGCCATGTGTGTCACAGGGTTTCCAATGTCTGACTGTTCACAGTAGATCACCTAGTCGCTCTTCCAACATGCCTCTAGGTGAACTTGAACCTTTCACCTTTCTGTTAGCAGCGCCACCCCAAAACCCACAACTAGGGAGTTCACTTACAGTGACTCTCCAGGACAGAGTAGAATTGCTCCTTAAGGTTTTCCAAGAGTGTACATTTTTATAGGAGCACACAGCCTCATCTTTCCCCTATGGAGCAGCAGATGAGTTTGAACCACAGGCCTTGTAATTAGCAGTCCACAATGTACAGCACCACCAGGCCTCCTTTGTACCACCCAGGGATGCCATGTTTAATTTATGACACTATCCAATTACTGTGACCATATTTCTTTGTCCTAATTACTGGCTACCACTAAACAAGCCATCAGTGAGTTTCATTTGGAATTTATGTGTAACTGAATTGGTTTCTTAAAAAATAATTTTGTTGGGGTCTCCTACAACTCTTATCACAATTCATCCATCCACCCATTGTGTCAAGCACTTTTGTACATTTGTTGCCATCATCATTCTCAAAAGATTTTCTTTCTACTTGAGCCCTTTGTATCAGCTCCTCATTTTCCCCCTCCCTCCCTGACCCTCCTTCCCTCATGAACCCTTGATAATTAAAAAAAGTTTTTTTCTTGTCTTATACTGTCCGATGTCTCCCATAATCCACTTTTCTGTTGTCTGCCCCCCAGGGAGGGGGTTATATGTAGGTCCTTGTGATTGGGTCCCCCTTTCAACCCCACCTTCCCTCCACCCTGCCAGTGGCACCACTCTCAGCACTGGTCCTGAAGCGATCATTTATCCTGGGTTTCCAGTTCCTATCTGTACGAGTATACATCCTTTTGTCTAGCCGGATTTGTAAGGTAGAATTGGAATCATGAAAGTGATGTGGCAGGGGACGAGGAAGCATTAAAGAACTAGAGGAAACTTCCGGTAAGATGGCGACGGAGTGACACATACCAGAGGGACACCGCAGAATTCAGCCCAGGAGAGTTGCTTAGAGGGAAATTCAACGCTGCTGGAATAAGGGAGGAGCATCATAATGATAAGTAGCCACAGACCCACGGGGTTTTGAGGGGCTGGGGCTTTTGGCTTACCTCAGTGGAGGTCAGCTGGGGCTTGACCTTGGCCCTGCCACTGTCTCTGCTGGATCCAGGACCATTTACTTGGTCTCAACACAGCCACAGTTTGTCCCTGCCTGCCTCGGGGCAGGGACTGGATCCTTGCAGCTCCACTGGAAGGGATCGGGGTTCCACTACATTGTTACTTTTGTTTCCCTCTCTTTTCTCTATCCTGCGCAGGGGCTTTTTCTCAACACAGCCACAGCTTGCTGTAGCCACCTCCTCGGGCAGGGACTAAACTCTTGCAGCTCCATGAGAGGGGATCTGGACTCAGCTACATTGTTGCTTTGGTTTCCCTCTCTTCATTATATCCCCACACAGTCTCAGTGGGCTTGCTTTTTAATTCTTTTCTCCTCTTTGTCTCTTTCCTGTTCTCTCACACTCCACTGCTGACCTTCAGACCACTCCCCTTAGCCTAGGGCATTTATGCCTGTGCCACACCCAGCTAGGTGAGCTCCACCCTATGCAGCTAGCCTGAGGCTGGGGAAAGCCCTGCTGACCTCCACCAGGGGATACTCTGCCCAACTTCTTACCGGGGAATTCCAGCCTGTTTGCCTGGGGGTCTAAGGTAGCTCAGCCAACACTCGTCAACAGTCCAAGCTGCTGCAGGAACCTCTCCCCAACATCCGCAACACCAAAGCAGGCAAACCACCAGCCTTCTGGGGCACTCCCCTGAGAGGGAAGCCATAGGAGGATAAAGTGGTAGGTTAATTCCATAGTGAAATTATCTGTAGGCTGTTCGAAGAAGCATTCCTACAAGTCTCCTAGAGAGAGCCAGTGCTCTTCGACTCCCTGGAAAATGGCACCTGGCTCCTCTAAAACAATGCAACGCAAACAGCCATCAGCCCCAACGACCTCAATGAAAAAGCAGGAGAAACAAAAGGCAATGGCAGAAGATGTCCCTAACATAACCACATGCATAGGAGAAGTAGACATTGAGCTGCCACAGAGAGAAATTTTCAGAATGCTGCTTGGATATGAGGGAAACAATACAGAAAAATGATGAAATTATAGAGGAGATAAAGGCCATACACCAAAGGCAAATACAGGAGCTCAGGGAGGAGATAGCAAAAACCAGTAGCAGAAACATGGACGACGAGAATCAACTGGAGGATGCAGAAAACTGCGTCAGTGACTTGGAGGACAGCCAAGCAGACTTTAACAAATGGGAACAAAAATCTAATAAGATCATCAGAGAAGCTGAAGAAAAACTTAAGAGTTATGTCTGATGCTATGAAGCGGAACAACATTAGAATTGTTGGCTTACTGGAGGAAGACACAACAAAGAAGTCATCTGCAACAATAGTGAGAGAATTCTTGGAGGAAATCTTTCCCAGTTTAATGAATGAAAACCAGACAACCATTCAGGAGGCTGAAAGAACACCAGCTAGACTGAATCCCAAGAAGACGTCACCAAGTCACATAATAGTTAAACTATCCAACTTTAAGGAAAAGGAGAAAATCATCAGAGCAGCTAGGGAAAAACAAGCAATCACATATAAAGGTTCCCAAATAAGAATATGCTAAGACCTATCAGCAGAAACTCTGAAGAAGAGGAGAGAGTGGAGTAACATATTCCAAAAATTGAAGGAAAACAACGCAAACCCAAGAATACTCTACCCAGCAAAATTATCAATCAAGATAGATGAAGAGGTAAGAGTCTTTGCAGACAAGGAAAAATTCAAAGAATACATTAGAAGAAACCCAGCCCAACAAAAGACCCTTGCTGACCCAGTATGGGCAGAACAACAACACTCACCAAGCATAAATAAGAGACCACCACATAGAATAACCTCACCCAGAGGACAACAAAGAGAAAACAGACCCCAAGATAGCATTGGCTTAAGGATGGAAAGAAGTCAAGAATGATACACACACATGCACAACACTAATGAGAAAGGAAAGTAGGAAAACACAACACAAAAGGTATAAGATGACATCACAGAGTCCACAGATGGAGATAATAACCCTGAATATCAATGGCCTGAACTCAGGCATTAAAAAGCTGAGACTAGCAGACTGGCTTATAAAACACAACCCATCAATCTGCCTACAGGAGACACATCTCAAGGCTACAGACAAAAATAGGCTGAGAATCAAAGGCTGGACAAAGGCATACCAAGCAAACAACAATTCAAAAAAAGCAGGGGTTGCAATTGTAATCTCGGATAAAATTGACCTCAAAGTGCACACCATAAAAAGAGATAAAGAGGGACACTATATAATGCTTAAGGGAATGGTAGACAAAGAACCACTAAGCATTGTAAACACATATTCCCTGAATGAGAGACCCACTGAATACATCAACCAAACACTCCAAAAGATGAAAAAAGAAATCGAAGCCTCAACAATTATAGTAGATGACTTCAATACACTGCTTTCTGAGAAAGATAGATCACAGGTAAAGAAACTCAACAAGGAAGCTAGAGATCTAAACACTACAATTAGACAATTTGACTGGATAGATATTTACATAGCTTTTCATCTAAATACAAACAAATTCACATTCTTCTGAAGCCCACATAGAACATATTCGAAAATAGACCACATGCTGGGGCATAAGGTGAATCAACATAAATTTAAGCACATTGTTATCATACAGACCTCTCTCTCTGACCACTGTGCCATAAGGCTGGAAATCAACAAAAGGAAGATGAAGAAAACAAGAGCAAAAGGAGTGCATACTTGCACAGATCAGAGATGAAATTCGGAAATTTCTAGAAACCAATGAGAATGAGTCCGCGACGTACCAAAACTTATGGGACACATCAAAGGGAGTGATCAGAGGAAGTTTCATAGCAATACATGCACACCCGAGAAAGGAAGAGAGACTCATGATTGATATGCTGGCACAAAATTTACAACAACTAGAG